TTTTCACATTCTGTCTCTCACAGTTGAAGTGTACCTCTGGTGCAAATTACTGACCTCTGTCATCATTTTAAGTGGGGGAACTTGCACAATCGGTGGTTGACTAAATACTTTTTTGCCCCACTGTATATTCAAGCGTGTTGGGGGGGTGTCTTCAAAAAATAAAAATAAATCTGAAATTAACTTTCTCCATCAGTGCTCCTGCGACAATAGAGACAACGCCATGCAGAATATGCTGTAGCTGCCTGTTTATGCATTAATTTATTCGCTTCACAGCATGATGAACTATTGTATTTTCAGTTTATGGAAGTTAAATGTCACAGATGAGCAAATGGCACTATGTGAAAGGAGGGTTTCATTCTGGCATTTTAATATGTAAACAGTATTTAACCTTTGGCGTTGCTCTGTTTGATTGCATCCTCTAGTGTCCCTCTTATCTAATTTTTTAAACAGACTCGTATATTCTTACAAAGTGCAGGTTTTGACTGCACTGCAGATGGATCATGAGACATTATTAGCAATAAGTAGACTTTCATAACTACCTTTAACATTCAAGTTTAATTAACATGAAATATTGACATTAAAATTGAAGCAGAATGAAAAAAGTAATAATTATAATAATTTCTCCACTTTCAACTATTTTTTGTTCCTGAACTTTTCTTACATCTTTCATTAGCAGTGAAATGGCACAGTGCTGAGGCTAGAAGTAAAGTGATGGAAACCATTAAATCTTTAGAGGATCGAAGGGAATCAGTGAAGTTTGTGTAAAGATTGTTTAGTGACTAAATGTTTAGGTAGGCCACAGCAAGTTTTCAGACTTTGAAATGAGCCACTGCAGTCTCACATTTGGGAACAGCTGGCATCAACATTACACCGACAATAAATAATAATAAAATCATAAACACATTAACAGGCTACCTATATAGGCAAGCTGTAGTTAGCAAATAATTCGTATGAGGAAAAGTTTTTTAAATAAGTACAAATTCAAATTCTATTTGTCACATACACAGTACGATATGCAGTGAAATGCTTACACAACTGCTCGTGACCTAAAGAAAAAAGAAAAGGCTATGAATAAGATAGGAAATAAATATGAAAATTAAAAAGGGTAAATTTAACTAGGAAAGTACATAAATACAACACTTTCCTCCCCTCTGACTTTTCACAATTTTGACCCTGTAAAGACACGTGTTATATTAGGATTCTGGACCAAAAAAACAAAACAAAGATCAGTTCTACAGAAGACACACTTTTCTCTACAAAACATTTGCCTTTTAGCAGGAGTTCAAGGTTCAAGACAAAGTCCAGTTTCATGCTTCATTCAGACACAAACCACATGAAGAGTGCACATATTACCAAATTGTGCTTAAAATATAATATTTAGCATCCACAGGATGTACACGTTTTCCCCACACTGCCATTAACGATCTGTAAAGCACTCTGCCGTGTGACTGTCATGAGACACAGCTAACAACATGCTTGCAAACAGACTATAATGATTGTAAGATAAAATCCTTTTTACAGTAATAAGATGCTTGAATGTGCGCAGGACACCAACTAATGAGGATTTTCAGTCAGCAGTAACCTGTTTGTTTTTCCATACAAGCCTATAGCTAACGCCTAAAACTCAACTCTCAAATTAGCAGGAATTAGATTAACTCATTTCCTTTAACTCTTAGCCAAGCACACACACATACACACACACACACACACACACGTAATATCACTGGCCACACATTAAACATCTCTCTCAGAACAGCCAAAGTTACTTAACGTAGCGTCTTGCTGTAGTACTACCACGAAAATTGCACTGTATTCACGCTGAAGACAACATACTGAGTTTCTATATTACTAGCACTATACTACTATAATAAGCCATCTGAATGCTGCCATGCCTGGCTGATTTGTGATTCAACACGCTGTCCTACTGACATCAATTCAGTGCTGTTTATATAGAGCCAAATAATAAGATAAGTCATCCCAGGGCACTTTACACTATTGTTGAAAGGATCCCAAATAAAACCAGACCAGTGGTGGGCGGATGTCTGTCTCAGTAGGTTGTAGTGAGAACAGTCTGACTCAAGAAGTAGACTGTTTGTGTTAGCTTTCTACTACATGAAGCATCTTCCACCCTTTTTGCTGTTGAGAGTTTTCAAAATCCTCTGGGCAAAAACCTCAAAAGCCAACAGCCATCAAGCTGTATACCCAACCTAACGGCACTAAAAAGCATCTTTACGGTCTATCCATATAGATAGGGAATAACTTCTGGATCTTCTTAAAGCTTTAAAGCCATGGCTGCTGTGGCTGACAGGTGTCCTGATACAGGCACGTGGGTCTCATCTTCTCTACTTTAAATTAGTTAACCGCATCGCTCCAGCAAATCTATGCTTTTAGGAGCATATCTTAATGTATGGTAGAGGTCATCCATTTTTTTGATGAGCAACATATGCAGGATTATGCATTTCAGGCTTTAAATTGGCATCTCTCGTCCACTTTCAATGGGGATGACATCGTGCATCACCCAAACTGAATTGTGAATTTGTTGTTTTGCTTAGTTGGCAGTGTTTGGCATGAAAAACCTTTCAAGTGCCAGCTAATCAGCTAAAGTCATGAAAATAACCCAAGAGAGTGAGATGACTGCCTGTCCATTCAACAAGAAAATCAAAGAGAAGTTGATCACTGTGGTTAGTCTGCTGTGTATGTAGAAAGTTAGTAACACGAAGCCAGGTTGACTTAAGCTAACTACTAATCAACACTTGGTCGACTTGCCCTGTAGAGACTGGTTATTGCTGCTATGATGATTGTGTTTTGTATGGATACTAATACTGGATCTCAGGCTTAAGATGATAGTGACAGGTTTAAAAAAAAACTGAACTGAGCATTTTACCCACTGCACCAGAATCATGATTTGTGCAGAACGGTTATTCTTCAGCATGATGGGACAGCAAGAGGAGGAACAGCTAACAAACAGTGGGCAGGTTGGTGGGCACTATAACCCACATAAAGAACAAGGCAGACAGAAAACTCACCAACAGACTGCTCTTTGTTGGTTGTGAGGTTTCGTAAACACATGGCAGTGTCAGCTCCACAGCTGGTTGGTGGTGAAGAGTCACAGAGTTTAAGTGTATATCTCACTTTATTATCTTGATCTATTGCCTCCCATTTATATCTGCAAGACAAGGAATAGAAGACAATAAGCAAATAGACACCCAGGAAATGAGCTTGTTGGCCCCGACCCCACAAAATTACAGTCTGGGACAACAAATGACTATCATTTCCACTGCTACTATAAAGATAAGTCATTGTTTTGGGCTGTAAAATTTTTTGAAAATTGTTAAAAGGATTTTTACCTCTATCAACAGTCAAAAATAGTTACTACAATGAACAAATGGGAAATGAATCTTTAAAAATTTATACTGTCACTCGTGTTCTTTTACTTATTTCTCCTATAAAATAAATCACACTCATCTGTATAGCAAAAACACACTGACATATAAATGACAGTTTAAAATATCTAGTGGTTCACAGAAGTACAGCGTTTATGTAAAAATTACGATTCGTGCTTTGCAAATATACATTTTTTGGCTTTTTCCATCATGCAACCTTTAAATAAATTTGAAGCTTGGACTTCTGATTTGACAAAACAAGAAATACAAATGTGCCTTCGAGTTTTAAATTATCTTCTTCTAAATTTACCACTTCAATCCTTGACAGAAAATAATTGATGCCTTTCTCTAAATACCTAAAACTTCAATTTAAGGCATTCTTTTCTTTAACAAACAAATGTAACAATAACAATAAACAAAATGGACTAATCTGAGTTAAGTGAGATTAAACCAACTGGGATTAAAAACAGATAAGAAAGGAGGAGGTCATAAAATAATTTTTAAAAACCCCCACATTTCAGTGAGTGTGGAAAACACATGTGCAAGTCTTACACACACAGACCCAAGGTTTCACTTCTCATTTTTAACTAATATTGAAGTAATCTTTTTATGACACAGAAGTGAGGACAATATTTAATGGTTGTATACTAAAAATTCCAACAGTTCAGAAATGTTCTTGTCGTTTTCACTTTTATTAAAATAAGAATTAATCATTAGCATCATTATTTTCCCCCTGTTAGGTACAACGTGATATGGTATTGTGTGATATTATATGTTTTTCTAATAAAACAGGTGTTGTAAAACCTAAAAAATACAAAAATACACCGTGTTCTCTGAACGTAAGGAGTAATCCCACATTTATCAATACGGATATTGACCTAAACCAGACTGTAAAGGAACAGACGAAACTAAGGGAGAAGTTAACTGTAAGTCATGTGTGTTTCTAACCAACGTCCTCAGAAGCTGCCAAATCGAGGAAGTAATATTAACCCAGGCTGAACCTAAGCGTTGAGTCACCGGGTTATCATTTGCGCTTTATTGCTGAGTCAATATTTGAACAGCAGCTACTGAGACAGCGCTCCACTAAAGAAGGACAACGCTGACTTTATTTTAACTCCCATATTTATGTTGTTATTCTCTTCCGGTGCGTTTATTTATATAAATACGCCGCTGCTCTGTGAGAAAAACGCAACGTTGCTAAGGTTTAACATTCCCCAATTAAGCACGACAATTTTGTGCACGTTTCGGCATTTATAGCTAAGCTTCACTTTTTTCCTCGATGAACAAGAAAAACTAACTAGCATCGACGTTATGTAAGTTTCAGGGGTAGTCTGATTCAGCTGTACTGGTTTGCTAGCCGATTCAAACTTATTTAGGCTGTTTGCTAAATAAGAAAAAAAAACCTACCTATGACTGGAAGTAAGTATTAGTAGACATATTTCTCTATTCAGTTTATTTAGACGATGTGTGTACACGAGAATACAACGGCTGCACCTTTAACGCTGTTAATCTGTCAGCAGCTGCAGTGTTTGTACCCCCCGAAGGTGTGTATGTGTGTGTTGTTACCTGCAGAGGTCCTGGTACCACGGGCTGTTGTTCTCCGTCGTTCCGGACCGAACCAACAAACAGCCTAGAAAGGCCGCGAACCACAGAGCCAGCTTCAGAGGCTCGAAGCGAGAACATTTATACCCAAACATCATGGTTACTGTACCGGGTAACGTCTGTGGAGCCTAACTAAGACGACATGATACAGCAGAGTGTCTCTGCTCCTCACCAAATCAGTAGGAAGTGACTTCATCACATGACAGGACATCACATGACTCTCATGATGGTGACTGAAGGGGCGTTCGCGGTCTGTGAGAAATATCTGACATCTGAAAACGCGTGAAAAAGTTAAAGTGTAAAAGTGTCAAGTGTGATGTAAGCCAGGGGTAATAAAACATTTTTGGCTACTTCTTCACAACAGGTGGCCACAGAAGAACATGCAAGCCAATACACAAGAGAACCATTAGGAAAGGTTACAAATAAAAACAAACAAACAAAACAAATCAAACAAACCAACAAACAATAGAAACAAAAGCAATGTGTCAAACAGAAAAGGACAAACAAAATAACGAGAAAATGATCATTCGTGAGGACATATAGCAAGAAAGTAATTGTAAATTTACATTTATGAATGTGGAAACTAGCAACAAGTAGCATTAACAGTAACAGCAGTCATGTTAACTCTTCTTTCATTTTCATGATTTTTTGTGTTAAAGCGTAAGACATTATATGGATTTTTAAAAATTGTTATTTTTTAAAATGTTGAAATATTTTTATTGATGTCCAACAAATTCTAAAAATTACTTGTCTTACTGATGTTGTTTTATTGATATATATTTTAATCCCACATGCAATAAACGACTATAAACTAAAAATCACACATCTTTTTTTAACCATTTGTTATTATTGTAACTGTTTTGCGCTGTGCTGAACCAGATTCTTTTCCAAGTCATCACTTCAAACTTCACAAACTCTAAACCATAGTTAATTGCTAATATTTGCATTTGTCTTTGATGACTTGAGACGACTGTTGGGCTTTAGTTCTATGTAAACAAACTGTAATTGGGCTTTTTCAGTTAATCAAGAAAATACACAACAGAACAAATTTACAACACAGTGCTACTCACTAACAAAAAACCCATGTCACACAATCAAGACTTGAGCTATTGTACCTATCAAACTTATGTACCTATCAAACCTACTTATGTTAGGCACCCCAATGCATCACTATTGATTAAAAAATGAATTAACAACAAGAAAAGATTTTATCACTCTTGTGATTCTCCAAGTGACAGAATAAACAAGTTGAATTTTTCTAGTTACAAATACGTCACTGTATGTCCGACGTTACATGAATGCGACATTTCTCATGACACATATCCAAGAGGTTGACTCGAAGTATTTAGCCCTGAAGTTTGTCTTACAGGTCAATCCTGTTCTGAAGTCGCTTCATTGACTTCTAACCTTCCACCCGTGAAACATTGATAACATTTATTAGAGGATTCTACTGTGAGACATCCTTCAGTCTGATAGCGAACATAGCTGTGACTAAACTGCAGTTCAGGACGAAAATACATTAAATACAATTAAATAAGCTTCTCCAGGTTTTCATTTTGCGCCATCTTGTGGTCATGCTCGAGCAACGAAACTGGGAAAGGTGTCAGACTTACTTGTTTACAAAGTAATAAACTTTTTTCAGTTTATTACATTTAATCTGTTATTTGTTAGTTTAGTATACCAGGCTGTGGGCACTGCCTCTGTCAGTAATAAGGCTATAAAATTAGCAATAATTCAGGCCTGTGATTTGGATGAAATAAACAATGAAGATATAATGAAATCCAAAAATATTCACCTTTGCAAAGATATCCAAATTACATTTGTTTGCAAGCTGGTTCAGGTCCCTGTGTTTGACAACCTTGGTTCAGAGCCAGCTAAGCAATCTGAGGTATTTACTGCTGTTATTGTTACAGCAACCCAACCTAGGCACATCTTTGCATTATGGGAGAAAGTGGAGAGACGCCACACAAACATGAAATACTTTAGCCAGTGTATTCAAACCCAGGACCTTCTTGCTGTGAGCCAACAGTGCTAACCACCCCACCACTGCTGCACAGCAGTCATTTATTTAAAAATACTTTCTCTTCCAGTATTCATTTAAAAAAAATTCATTTAAGCAGTCATAGATCTCCAGAATATATATCAAGAAGAGTTGAAGAGCTACGAGGGTCCTTTAAAAGTAGTTCTTGTTTATTTGGATTTTATTGGACCAGGAGTCACAGGTGGACAAAAAGGTGAACACATGTATTTTGCAACCACATTAGAGTCCCATGACCTCCACAAAGCAAGGGCATTAAATAACAAATACATGATATGGCACATTTAAAAAAGACATGATATCCAGCTCAAATGCATAATAAATGACATTTTGCTGTCTCTCCCATAATCTCAATTCAAGATTGTTTGAGTGTTATATCGCCTCCTTGTGAAATGTCTCTTCCTACACTGCCAACCAAAAATAATGTAGCACCATCTAGTGGTTTCACTTTAGTTTGGAACGTTGTAATCAGTGGAAGTGATGACACCTGTGGAGATAGTAACATGTCTATATCAGAGAGAGAACACCTGTTACAGCTTTTCTCTTTGCCAAAAGATGCCCTGCTGCATTATGTGGCTGCTGGCTGCTTTCTGCATGTCAACAGGTACAGCCTAAAAACATACGTACTACAAAGTATGGATTTCTAGCTTAATAGTGATAATATTTTTGTGTGTATGTAGTTGGCAGTGTTCCCATCAGTCCCACCGGTCCTTTCGCAGGTTGGTGCTGATTAAATTCATTTGCATCTTTGATTTGTATATGCTGCAATATAACAAATCTGAGGATTCTACATTTTTGTAGGCAATGTTTCTTTAACTGCCACTACCACGGGTGGGTATGAGAGCACCACTGCAGCGACTCCAAGAGGTAAGCTCTAGAGTTTTGTTTTTTTGTGTTTCTAATTCATAATCAATAACATTTCCAAATGTAGTTAAGATATTGAAAGTTTCACTTTCAATTAGTGCTTTTTTTAAATTTAAATTTAAATTTAAATTTAAATTTTTTGTTTTGTTTTTGTTTTGTTTTAAAAGGTGCTCACAATGAAACATACTCTGCATCAGATTGGTCTACATTACATGCATGTAGATTTCAGGGTGGATGCAGTATGAGATGTGCAGAAGTTCCCCTTACTTTATGAGTTCTAAAGTGACATGATAGATTTTTGATGTGTCTGTTTAGATTATGATTTTTTTTTTTTTTAAATTACGCCCACAATGCCACCAGCTTTGCTCCAGACTGGTGACCAGTTTATGCACTTGCACTGTTTTGGGATTTGCTAGAATACAATGATGACTTAAAGAATTTCTAACACTTGATACAATAGAAGTCTGTACAGACAGAATATGTTTTGCTTCATGGATCCCTGGTATTTGTTTCAGATGGTGCAAGTTCTTTACACCCATAAAATAAGAAGTGGAAACATGAATGATATTGGATGTATTTTTATTTCAGATTATGCCTTTTCTCTAAATCCCACCATGAATACCACCAGCTCTGCTCCAGGTTGGTGCTCACTGAATCACTGAATATTTTTCATTTACTAGATCATGAATCCAGTCCACTTAACTGTCTCCAGGGTGCTTGTTGTGCATCTGATATTATGATTTAGCGTGGACCACTGCATACAATGGGTGTCCAATAACCCAGAATATTTGATTCTGGTATCGTTACGGTCATTTATATGAAATGTGTACTGGATTTTCATTTCAGTGGGTGCAACTCCTTTAAATGATGCTCTGAATGCCAGCAGTCTTGCTGAAGGTTGGTTCTGAATAATTTTAGAGTTAGGTCTTTGGAAAGCCATTAGTGTCCAATATATTTTGTACATGCTTAAAAGTGGAAATGGTCAATACTGGATATCTTTGTCTTTCAGATTATCATATTTTTTTAGAAAACACTCTGAACACTACGAGCTCTGTTCCAGGTTGGCATCTGGTTAATTCACTAGCACCCTTATACATTTGTTACTTTCTCTAATTAAGAAAATTGTTTTGGGAATTGTACCATTTCTATGGTTGTGTATAACCAAAGAACAGATTTAGTATTTTGTTATATGCGCTTTATAAACACTGCTTCCATTTCAGTTGGCACAGCTCCTGTAAATGATGCCCTGAATGCCAGTAGGCTTGCTGAAGGTTTGTGCTAATGTGTTTCTGTGGGTTATGTCATTGGAAAGTCATCAGTGTTAATATAACTCTGCCTGTTCAAAAAGCGAAACGTGGATGTTTGTTTCAGACGATGTATATTTAAATGACACCTTCAATACCACCAGCTCTGCTCCAGGTTGGTGGTCACTGAGTGACTCCGATTATTTTCCATTAGTAGAATATGAATTCTTATTCTTAACTCCCTTGTAAATCCCAGGATGGTTGGAGTGTGAAATTCTTTGATGATTATTATTATTATTATTATTATAATATATTTTTGTATTGTTACGGTCATTTATATGGAATCTGTACTGCACAATGTAAACCCTGGATGTGCTTTATATTTCAGGTGGTGCAACTCCTTTAAATTATGCTCTGAATACCACCAGTCTTGCTGAAGGTTGGTGCAAATAATTGTTTTGTCATTGGAAGGCCATTACAGTGTTAGTATACTGTGTACATGCTTAAAAATTGGAAAGATGGTCAATATTGGATGTTTGTTTCAGATTATCCCTTAAATTTGAATGACACCCACAATAATACAGACTCTGCTACAGTTTTGTGTTGGCTTGACTCACTTGCACTAGTCTACTGTTCTATGATTAGACATTGACTGACAGCTCCTGCAGATTAATTGTATCTTTCTTGATTAAAAACATTGTGCATACTTGTAGTTTCTGTTTTTAGTTGGTCCAAGATTTTTAACTGATGCCCTGAATGCCACCAGTCCTGCTGCAGGTTGGTCATTATTTTTGTGGGTTACATCTTCACAATTAGTTTTTAGTATTACTATTTTGTACATGCTTAAAAGTGGAAACATGATGGACGTTGAATGTGTTTCTGTTTCAGATTACGCCACATCTTTCAGTGACACCCACATTACTTCAAATACAACTGGTTGTGCTTCAGGTTTGTTTTCACAGGACTTCAGACTGTCAGGTTTTATGTTTGAGGTGTTATAAATATGTGGCTGTCTGCAGGTGCTGCAGCTCCAGAACCTGAATCTTCAAAGAATGAGAGTGCAGAAACTTTGAAAGGTAAAACTTGAGCATAGCATGAGATTAGACTGGCCACAATCTTGGCAGATTAGCTAGTGTTAGCCCTTCTACACATCCTATTATAGACACAGTATTTAAGATGCTTTAGCCAGCCCAGATGAGATAGTCAGATGCCATCAAGGACTATTTCAGTTAATCAGTGTCCAATCAGCTGGCTCTGTTCTGGGATCTTTCTTATCTCGCTGCCTCTTGCCTTGCACATATGGCCATGGAACAGCCAATCACAAAACTGAGCCTTACTGCAGATGGAAAAATCAGCCTCTTGATTAGTGGGCCACACTAAACCACTCAATTTTTATGTCCAATGACTACTTTTTCTGATTTTTAAATCCTGCACTTTGTCAGAGTTTGATCAAGACATGCCAGTCCAGGAGGGAGACATTCTAATTCCGGTAAGATGGAGGGGTTTTATATTTATTTATATTTTGTGTGGCACTGCTGATTGCTGTATGTTTAAACTTGCAGGAGAACAGAAATGCTGTACAGACTCTGTGGCCGGATGCCACCACCCCTTACATCATCACTGATGCACTGGGTAGGTTGATGTCCCTCAAATAGGACCAGATATTTGATTACTGAATGATAACTGATTTGGTTTTGACTCCAACAGTTTCCCGAGAGGCAGAAATTAAAGCTGCCTTTAAGATGATATCGGATGTCACATGTATTCGTTTTAAGAAACGAGACACCGAGTCGAGCTATTTGAAGTTTGTGACTGGCAATGGGTAAGAAGTCAACCATCTCTGGGTAGGTTCATTATTTTGTTAAAGATGAGGCAGTACAGGAAATTGCCATAACAAATTGTTTCCAAGGAAACAAAGCAACAGTAAGGAAAATCAGAAACTTCCAGCATTTGCAGGCCTGCCCTTTGCCGCACCTGTTTTGTTTTTGTTTTTTATTACAGGTCTATCTCTAAAGACTTCAATCATTCAATCCAATTTTATACTGTGGTGGTGTCACTAGAGACTTGAACACTGGATACTAGAAAGGGATGGGGAAGAAAAGCTTTAATGAAAGATTAATAGATGGGGAAACAACATGCTTGGCAGCAAAAGGGAAAGCCCATAAAGTAGGCATGGTCATACAAGACCATGGGGGAGGGATAAATCTCCCCCACTCATTAAAGCCTGCCCAACAATTATTTAATCTTATTACTTATTACTAGTTTGTGACACAAATTAAGGCCTGTTCCATTCAATTTGGTACATTTTGGCTTCAGTCTCCATTATCCATATATTCAGACATTAAGGGAGAATCTCAGGTCAGAACTGAGTGGTTGAACTCTAACATTTTATTTTGTGCCTAGCTGTGCCTCATTCGTTGGTTGTCAAGGAGGAGCCCAGCAGCTCTTCTTTTCTTCAGAGTGCACCGTGGGGAACCTTTGCCATGAACTGCTCCATGCTCTGGGACTGTATCATGAACACACTCGTGAAGACCGGGATAAATATGTCACAGTGAACTGGCAGAATATTGTGGCAGGTACACAAGCTCATTTGCTTTTTGCATTAGTTGTAATGCAGTTAAAAACAAGTTGTATCCAGATTGTTCACACAGCCCAGTTCCTTTGGCTGCAATTTAAATCTTTGGTCAGTAAAAGTGAGACCTCTTGGTTTGTATAATGGAAAATATGCTCCCGGTGGTGTTGATGGAATGTAAAGTACAAGTTTGTGCACATGAATATTAAGATCCTCTCCTGCCAGCTCAGTCTCTCCTTGTCAAAGCCTTCATCTTCTTGAAACAAGAACTATAACTGTCTCTTGTAATGCACATTAAAAAAAGGAACATTAACTTCAGTATGAAGAAATTACTTTGGCTATTATTGTGATACAGTAGATGCATCATGTTCAACTATGCCATTTTGGATTTCTTTTTCCTTAAAGGTAAAGAAAATAACTTCAAGGTGAATCCTGGAAACACTCAAAACCTACCATATGATCTCACGTCCATAATGCACTACGGGCGGTAAGTTGACGATGTCCTCATTTTATTTTCTAATTTTAAAGTACTTGAAACAGACTCCAGATAAGTTTACCCTCCCCCTGGTCTTGCAGGGATTTCTTCAGTACAAATGGAAATCCAACTGTGTTGCCTAAGCAGAGTGGTGTGGAGATAGGTCAGAGGAAACATCTGAGCCAGCTGGACATAGAAAGATTGAATAAACTCTACCGCTGTGGTAAAATTTGAAACTAAATAATTGCATGTTTCATTTTTATAACAGTTGCATGTTCAATTGACAGTAAATGTGGCACAAACTACAGACAAAAGCAACTCTGAAATTTCTTTCAGGTCTTATCTTCAAATTACTTTTATTGTCATGTCACATTACTTCTACACTGGTACAGCACATGTGAGATCCTTGTGTGCAAGCTCCACAAGTAACAGTGGTATGCAAAAATGCCGGAAACATAAACAAGACAAATATAAGTGCAGGAATGTGAGAATTATAAGAGTAAAATATATGTACAATTTTAAGGATATATGCACATTACTAATATGTATGCCACATACATACATGTAAAATCTACAAAGGTCAGCAGTTGAATTGTGCAAAAGAAATGGCATATGTACAATATGGAGTGCATAGTGTTGAAGTTCCGTTAGGAAGAGTAAGGTGTCACTGATCAGCAGCCTGATGGAAAAGCTGTCCCTCAGTCTGCTGGTGTGGGACCGGATACTGCGGTACCTCCTGCCTGACAGGAGTAGTTTGTCTTAACACTGCTGTTATTGTTACCATAACCTAACCCAGGCAAATCTTTGCATCATGGGAGGAAGTGGAGAGACGCCACACGGATATGAAATACTTCAGCTAGTGTATTCAACCCAACACCTTCTTGCTGTGAGCCGACAGTGTTAATCACTACATCACTATGCTGCACAGCAGTCACTTATTTTAAAATACTTTCTTTTCCAGTAATCATTCAAATGTTCATTTAAGCAGTCATATCTCCAGAATACATATGAAGAGTTTGAAAGCTATGAGGGTCCTTTAAAGGTAGTTCTTGTTTATTTGGATTTTATTGGACAGATTCACAGGTGACTGGGGGAGAGAAAGTTACACATCTTTTCCAAGCACATTAGATTCCCATGACTTCCACATAGGAAGGGCATTAGAGAACAAATACATGACATAACATGTTTTCATTAAAAAAAATACATGATATTTTAACAAAAATAATTCTATACCCAGCGTATTATTTTATAGATTGGTTCAGTGGGGGTAAAGAAAGAAAAAGAAATCTCAGGAATTTCCCCTTCAGCTCAAATGCATAAATTACATTTTGCTGTCTCTCCCATAATCTCAGTTCAAGATTGAGTGTCATGTCGTCTGCCTGTAAAATGTCTCTTCTATCACAGCCAACCAGGAATAATGTAGCGTCATCTTATAGTTTAATTGTAATTTGCAACGCTGTAATCAGTGGAAGTGATGACACCTGTGGAGATAGTAACATGTATATATCAGAGAGACGACAGCTTTTTTTTCTTTGCCAAAAGATGCCTTGCTGCCTTCTGCAGCTGCTGGCTGCCTTCTGCATGTCAACAGGTACAGCATAAAAACATACGTACTACAAAGTGTGGATTTTTAGCTGAATATTAATAATTAGTGATGGCCAAATGAAGCTTTCTGAAGCTTGTATTGAAAAACAGTTCATTACTTGAAGCTTTTCAACAGTCCTCTCTGGTGACATCTGGTGGCCAAAAATATGAGGAGCAGCTTGAATCCACAAAATAAAACCAACTGCTTCATTAAGATTGCTCACAGAGTGGAATTCTGTCTGATATTGGGCCGCCGTTGTGTTGCTTTGAACGTGTATTTGTTGGTGGTTTAAAAAAAAAAAAGTGGTTTATTTGTTTAATAAGTAATTTTGACCAGTAAACTCTCCTTGTTTAAACATGCACTATTGTGTGGTCTTTCTTTGCTTGTGACTTCTTGATGTTGATAAATACAATAATTGAAAAATACCACATTATATATAAAATACATATGATAATGTACAACACATTATGGAGTATGCGTCTGCTGTGAGGTCCTGCCTCCATGCACTTATGCAATTAACCGCTAGACGGGTATATTTATAAATATTATATAAGGGAAATTTTCCCAGAAATATTTTTCATCTGGGGGTAGAATTGATTGTGAAATGGAAAAGGAAAATGCTTATGAACTTAAATTAAAAACATGATGCATTTAAAGTAGCCCTTTTTCATTTTTTTTTTTTTTAAGAGAATTTGTTCCAGTGTGCGATGGCCGAACCTGCTGATTTAAATTTAGCCATTTAAATCAGCTGTAATGGATCAAGAACGCATCTAAAATCTGCAGGACACCAGCCCTCGAGGCCTGGGTTTGGACACCACTGCTCTAGAGGTTATTTTTTTTATTTATAATCAGTAACATTTAAAGTGTATTTGTTTAAAGTTTAACTTTCAGTTGGTGTCCTTAATTTTATTTATTTTTTCTTTCTAAAGACAATCAGGTTGGATGTTGGTGCAGACTACATGCATGTAGATTTCAGAGTGGATGCAGTATGAAATGTGCAACAATTCCCCTTATTTTAAGAGTTCTAATATGACATGAAAGATTTTTGGACGTGTCTCTTTCAGATTATGCTTTTATTTGTTTTTCTTTTGTTTAAAATTACACCCGCAATGCCACCAGCTCTGCTCCAGACCGGTGATCAGTTAATGCACTTGCACTATTTTCAGATTTGCTAGAACACAATGATGACTTAAAGAATTTCTAACACTTCTATTGTGATACAATAGAAGTCTCAACAGAATATTTTTTGTACCCTGAATACCACCAGCTCAGCTGCAGGTTGGTGTTCATTGAGTGACTTGGATTACTTTACATTAGTAGAATTAGTAGAATTCCTTCAATTTTCTTTACTCCTTTGTAAATCCCAGGATGGTTGGTATTGCAGCACCTCTAAAACAAACGGCCGGAGCAGGCTAAATATCGGGATACTGACGCGCAGCAATAAACACAAAATGCACTTCTGAGCCATTTGTTCTGTTTATTCAA